CTTCCTCTCTGTAAAAAATCAATAAAAAATATATATTAAAATAAAATAAAAAATAAAAAAAACTGGAAAAAGAAGAAATGGCCCCAGTGATTATCGAAGGGCTTACATACCAGCAAGGGAAATCTTAACTTCTGACCACTCTGTTATGTCACTCTTTTTTGGTATTAGGAAGAAAAAATAATATAATCTTGATTTCTGTATCCTATACTGATTACTTTCACTGCACATATGCAGCTTCTACAGTGGAGCCTTGACTTACGAGTGTCCCGACTAACGAGTTTTTTGAGATACCAGCTGACTCTCGGCCGATTTTTTGCATTGAGTTGATAGAGTAATTTGAGTTAACGAGCTCCTTAATGAGCTCCTTAACGAGCTCGGTCTTGGAACGAATTAAACTCATAAGTCAAGGCCCCACTGTACATTAATTACTACTTCATCACAATCCTTTCACTGTCAAGTGTGCAAATAGAAGCAGAACCTAAACCCCACTAGGTGGCAGCCTTGATTATATAAACACTTTCGTGCAAAAAGGCCTCAGTGACTGTCTTCATTTTCCTGTTTTAAAAACAAACTCTGAAAAATAAATTATAAACTCAGCAAGTGTCACTTGAGAAATTCACAACGCTCCCAGGGGCTACGTTACACCGACACCGAACGGTACCACGGGTACAGAGGACTTCGTGTCCAAAATTGCCTCCCGGAAGTGTTCCGGTTCCAGCTTCCAGAACCAAAACATAAGCAAGACTGACTGACGTCTGGCAGGGATGTTACAATGCGGCCATTCGAGTCTATAATACACAGATGCTGCCCTGCAGCGTCACACACTTCCCCGCGGAGGCCTAAAACGTACTCACATGGGTCATATTAACTAGGAAGCTAAGTAGCTTCATGTTTGTCTCCCGGCCTCCTCTCATCTGTCCACATTCCTAAACATGTAAGGCTGAACCTCTGCACTACCTTCCTCAGTAAAAACCGAGCCAAATTTCATTCAAGAGTGGACTTTTCCTTCTTTGATTGTATCCTTTTTACAGCAATTACTAGTAACGAGTCCACTGATTCTCTGGTTGATGCCTTTGGATACATTTTCAAAACCAATTGCTATATTTATTTGTAAATCTATCTAAATGACTTCCTAAAATCCCAATTTCTATTTTGGATTGGGCATACTTCAAAATTAGCAGTCTTTGCTATGCTAACTTGTAGCTATCTCTTCATAGTTGGTTGGCATTATTTGATTTCAGCTTATAAAAGTATTTTTTTTTATCTTCACCCAAGGATATGCTTATTGATTTTGAGAGAGAGAAAGGGGTGGGGGGAGGGAGAGAGAGAGAAAATCAATGTGAGAAACATTCATTGGTTGCCTCCCGTACTCTCCCCAACCAGGGATTGAACCTGAAACCTGGGTACGTGCCCTGACTAGGAATCGAACCCGCAACCTTTTGGTGTATGAGACAATGCTCCAACTGACTGAGCCACCCAGCCAGGGCTCAAACTTTTTATGCCAAATGGAATTGTGGGTTTGTTTGAAGGGAGGCTGGAAGGGAAGAAGATGATTTTGAAACTTTATAGCAAAATGTTACCAAGTCTATTTTCACTCAGGGATACTTTATTCAAAATGCCTACATGAAAGTATCTTTTAAAAACTCCAAGACCCAGTTCTCTGGCTGGAGTGCTCTCCACTCTGTGGTGCTTGATTAGCTCTTGCAGGCTGGGGCCTGACTGCAAGGAAAAGGCCGCCCTTTAAAGAGAAGGAAGAAACAAAGTCAGGCGGAGAGGACAAGCTGGGTGAGCAGCCTTGACCGCTAAGGAGAGGAACTGGTCAACAGGCATCTGGGTGGGGGAGCCAGAGAGAGCTGGGCCACAGCGTGGTGGGGGCAGGGGGAGTAGAGGTGGAGTAAACGGTCCTATGATATGCTAAAATGACTGGCTCTATCAGGTGAAGGAAAGAATACCTTTCTCTGAATTCACAAAAGAGGATCAAGCTACAAAATAATCAAGTTCAACACAACACTTGCAAAAAAGTAAATGCACAATATCAATGTCAACAATAGTCATTTATCTTAACTTGAAACCCCCAAATCCTGTCATTGATAATATTTAAGTTAATGTACTTGCAATAAAGAAGAGTCTAATACTTAAGGTACTCCTGAATAAAAACTACAAAATTAAGTTATCAATCTTAATCACTTCTGTAGAAATCAACTTTTTAAAAAAATACATATTTTTTAATTTATTTCAGAGAGAAAGGGAGAGGAACAGAAAGACAGAAACGTCAACGATGAGAGAGAATCACTGATCGGCTGCCTCCTGCCTGCCCCACACTGGTGATTGAGCCCACAACCCGGGCCTGTGCCCTGACCCGCCTGTAATCAAACCATGACCTCCTGGTTTATAGGTTGATGCTCAACCACTGAGACACACCGGCCGGGCAAAATCAACTTTCTTTTCCCGAGGTTACCCAACTGGATTCTTCTAGTGACACCAAAAATTTTACCTGCGTACAATGAGCACCCTTGATTTAGAAAGCAGATAAATTATGGACAAAGGAAATAGCTAGAACCCCCTCTATTACAATAACAGTTAGAACTAACTATCCTTAGGTAATACCGCTACTACTTAAAATATCAGAGCTAGCTTCCACATGTGCTAAGGAGAAATTCAGAAAAGTCAGATGAAAGGCAGTAGAGGTAGCTTTTGCCAAAGTAATAAAAATACCTCAGAAAGAGATCAAAGTGCTTCAGTAAAGCCTTCAGGTTCTTCTCAGAAAAGGCCATCTTTCCAAGGATTTCTGGAAGTTTCACTGTATCGAAAAGAGAAGCAAAACCATTTACCATGGGCAGCATCTGGCAACGGGTAGGACACACCCAAGGACCGTCTGGGTCTGTTTGATCGGAAATGAACATCCACGTTATCAAACAAAACTAAGAACTCTGCGTGAACACAAAGACACAGCAATAGTACAAATATTACAAATATAATTGTTAGGAAATTTAAGATTTATGAAGGGCCTTTTTTTAAAGAGGTTCCCTTTCAGTAATTTTTCTTAGACCCCAACATTACCACAAGATGTACATAAGCTAACAAGTGTGTTAAAGCAAAAAAAGGGGGGGGGGGGGGGAAAGCAGGGACCAGGATTTCTTACCAAACAATCGCAGCAAGTGTTGCGCCCCGTAAATGTACGAGGGTGGAGGCGGCTGGTCGCCCGGAGGGTAACTGTCTGGTACAAGTTTCCAGGAGAGGACCTGGGAAAGGCACAGATTGAACGCTTTGTTACTGCATCTTACCACTCTGTTAGCAACAGTCTCGACATCCGGAATCCCGGCAAATACCCGTGTGCTTTGCCATTCTGTGCCCAATCACGTGTCACACCCCCGCCCCCACCCCCAACTTGCCGGCCCTCTGGCACCTCAGGAGTTGCTCCACAGCTGGACCAGGGAAGGGAGGAAATAGTGACCATTTCCTGACAATGTGGAAGTCCTGAAGAGGTAGCCCTCCGACTTCCCCATGGAGCTCTTTGTGGGTATGATCTCAGGACATAGGAGAATATAATGTGTTTTTATGCTGAAGAGGGTCGAGCTACAAAATAATTAAGTTCAACATAACACTTGCAAAAAAGAAAGAAATGCACAATATAAAATATTGTGTAGAATTATTATGTAAATACATAGGGAAAACTATCAAGAAGTATATACCGAAATGTTAACGTTCGTTTTTTTTAGTGGTGGAATTATAATATAGGGGTCATGAGAAGATAGACATATATGTTTTCCATATCGATTATATACTAGCATACATATTATAGTTTTCTACTATAATTTTTCAAAACCTTTTTGCCTCTTAAATCAATCACAGGAGGATCCAACTTCCTTGACAACATGGAGACACTTCTAATCATCTGAAAATTATGATAATAAATTAAGTAGAGGAAAAAAATGTCACTATCAAAATAAATATCAGCTTATAAAAATAAATAAAACTGTGGAAGAGAAGACTTAAAATTAGATTAGGGAACTATTTGATTTCCTAATTTTTCAACAGCTACTACCTATACACTAGCTGCAACTATTTAGGTCATTTTGTGCCTTTCCTTTATTAGAAATCCTGCTGTATTCGAGAATGAAGCAGTAAAAAAAGAGCCCAAGGATGTTTTGAGTAATATTACTATTGTTTCAAAATCCCGGAATTGCTGCTGTTATATTCACTTCGGAAGCTAATGTGACCCTCTGAATCAAGTGAAAATAGATGTTAACCTTGAAAATACCTACACTCTGACCTTTTACGGCAAGTTTGCTGACCTCCATCACCAAATGTTCTCTGCCTGGTACAGTCATCTGCCCCCAGACATGGAAACAAGGGAATCCTGTCCCCGGGTGACATTGACAGAATAGCCTGTGGGCCTGAGACATCTCCTGAATCCTGGAGACACTCACTACCTACATCAGTTAAGTGGCCTTAAAAATCGAGTTTTAGCCCCAGCCGGTTTGGCTCAGTGGAGAGAATGTCAGACTGGAGTGTCCCAGGTTCGATTCCGGTCAAGGGCACATGCCCAGGTTGCGGGATCGATCCCCAGTGGGGGGCGTGCAGGAGGCAGCCGATCATTGATTCTCTCTCAGCATTGATGTTTCTCTCCCTCTCTTTTCCTCCCTGAAATCAATAAAAAAAAAATAGATTAAAAAAAAAGAGAGAGAGTTTTAGAATGAAGCTTCCCGGGGCTGGGTGGGTGGGAAGAGATCAACCAAAGACCTTGTATGCATATGTGCATAACCCATGGACACAGACAATTGGGTGGTGAAGGCCTGGGGCAGGGGGCAGGGGCGGGCTAGAAAGGGGACACATGTAATACTTTCAACAATAAAGATTTAAAAAAATAAAATAAAGTTTCTCCATCTGTAAAATGGAACCCCAGTGCAAGGTAAGAATATGAGGTAATTTAGGTCAAGTGCCTGGCATAATGCTGACACACAGCATGCCCTCAAAGGGATGACTGTTAATATTATTAAGGATGGATTTTATATTTTTAAATGGTTGGGGAAGTAGCAAAAAAAACCCAAAAACAATGTCTCATCACACATGCAAATGATCTGATATTCAAATTTGTGTGCGTATTAAAGTCTTATTGGAGACAGCACACTCATTCATGTATACAGTGTCTATGGCTACTTTTAGAGTTGGGCAGTCTTGTCAGACACTGTGTGGCCAAAGCTTAAAATATTTACTCTCTGGCCTTTTGCAGAGAAAGTGTCCCAACACCTCTTCTATAAAATGAAAATACAGGAGGTCCTCTGACCGCAACAGTTCATTACAATGTGGATGAGATGCCGTAGGAACTGAACTCTTGTGTGTATCCATTGGCCTGTGGCAAAACTGGTTTCATTGTATGTTGTCCTGCTTAAAGTGCAAGCACCTATCCATGACGCTGAGTGAGGACTCACTATACTCATGTTTCAGTACTAACAGTTTCTTAAGATAAAAGCTACATGTAAGTGTAACAATGTTCTCGTTTTCGAAACCAAGAACACATGGTTACACATCATCTGAACGACCCTGTTCACGTCCAGAGCAACAGAGCGCCTCTGAGGAAACCGGATTTCCTGCTACAGGAAAAAAGCAACCGCAAAAGGCTCGCCGGGGGAGGGCGAGCGGCAGACACGCACTCTCTACCTCATTGATCTCATTAGTCCTTCTGCCTTCGAAGCTGGCGAACACCGCGCTGCCTTCCTTGCTGGGGGTCACGGGAACAGGTGAGGAGGATCTGCTATGCACAGGTGTTTCTTCGGAAGGAACAGATGTCAGTTATTCACTGAGAAGTCACATGGCTGGGGAGGAAAAACAGCTGGAAGACATTACAGACAGCAGAGGACTCACTCGTCTCTAACAATAAGACCCTCCTATGACAACACAGCACCTAGAAGAGTGGTCGGCAAACTGCGGCTCGCGAGCCACATGCGGCTCTTTCGCCCCTTGAGTGCGGCTCTTCCAAATACCGACTACTTCTGCGCATGGGCCACGAAATTTCAATCGCACTGTACGTGCGCACCCGCACGTGGTATTTTGTGGAAGAGCCACGCTCAAGGGGCCAAAGAGCCGCATGTGGCTCGCGAGCCGCAGTTTGCCGACCACTGACCTAGAATATTATTTGGAAAAAAAGAAAAAGAAAAGAAGGACTCAACTATTAACAGTAGCTACAGCATGATGAACCTTGAAAACTTGCTGCTGAGTGAAAGGAGCCACAGACAGAAGGCCACACTTTGTCTGACTCAGTGGGTCACCGGTCATGCCCAGAGGCAGATCCAGACGGGCAGCAAACAAGTGGCGGGTGCCCAGCATCAGGGGAGGGAATGGGGCGTGACTGCCAACTGACTGGTGACCCAGAGCTAACCCAGGAGCACCAAGCACCCAG